AGTATTGTTATATTGTTGTTTGTAGGTGAGATTATGACTATCCACCAATTTTGTAGTATTGTTATATTGTTGTTTGTAGGTGAGATTATGACTATCCACCAATTTTGTAGTATTGAATTGGCCACGTTCAATGCCTCTGCCTGGTGTTCCGTCTTTACTGAAGAAGATCTGGAAGTGATCGACTACGAACATGATCTATATGTAAGTTACATCAGAACCTACTCAACTGGTTCAACTGTTTAATCCACGACGAATTTGCTGTGCACACGATATGATCATTGTCTCTTCTGTTACCGCCGGCTTTCTACAATGTGTTTTAATGTAGTACTGTTTTCTTTGATTGCCAGAACTACTGGAGGAAATCCTATGGGCACGTGATCAACAGCGAAATTACTTGTCCAATGTTTGTCGATGTGTTTCGAAACATGGACAAAGCCATCCAGGCGGATAGAGAAGGACATAGGTAAGAATGGATTGCTTTGTTGTATTTAAGTTAAATAAACACACACTGAACTCATTGGTAGCCACACCGTGTCTTATGCAAATCCCAGTCATATTTTTCTTTTTCTGAATCGACTTCTGTATACCAGTATCCACCAAACTCGCAGAAATGTTTTTTCCGTTAAATATTCAACAAAGTTGTATTTCTACATGTAGTCATATTAACATTTATCGTATTGGTCGTATTGGTATCCATACCGTGTTGATAACATATGAGGAATGCCTATTTTGTTTTACAAATAAATCATACTTACCGAAAAAAACTGTGTTAGCAATCATTCCTTATAGAGCTGTGTTATTACCGTGTTAATATGTATGTATAATGTTCGAGCTATTTGTTCGTCAGTCAAATAATGAACAATAACGTCTGTTCGTCCGTCAAATAATGAACAATAACGTCTGTTCGTCCGTCACATTATGAATAATAACGTCTGTTCTTCCGTTATATAATGAATAATAACGTCTGTTCGTCCGTCACATACTTAATAACAACGTCTGTTCGTCAGTCACATAATGAATAATAACGTCTGTTCGTCCGTCACATACTTAATAACAACGTCTGTTCGTCCGTCACATAATGAATAATAACGTCTGTTCGTCCGTCACATAATGAATAATAATGTCTGTTGATTTCTCTGTTCTTGCAGTTACACTGTGGGCACGTTTAGATTTGGACACGCCGAGACCCTACTTCCCATCTACAGCGCTCTCTCGCTATTCCGCGACAACGTTCCTCTCTTGGCAAGTAACTACAACCTCCACCGTAAACGGAAGTACAGGAGCAGTAACATCTCGCCATTTGCTGGCAACATATATCCGGTCCTGTACAAGTGCGGCGATGATCTCGGCGACCTATACGTGAAAATGTTCGTGAACGAGGTAGATCATCCGTTATCTGCATGTGGCAATAATCTTTGTCCCTACTATCTGCTAAAGAGCGTCTACAGTGACGCAATAAACAACTGTAGGTTTAACTCGCTCTGTCACAATGTCCACTCGACCATACCGTCACCTGTGGTGGGATAAGGGAATCGTCCGCCATGGTGAACACTTATATAGGAATTATATCGTTTCAGTGAGTAAAAAACATTGACAATTTTGTTGAGTCCATGTATTTGTTTTATTTCTGTACAGACATTTACCGTCACCGTTATTATTACTGCATAAGAAACATTTATAAAACATGAATCGTTGAGTATATTATTTGAAAGTCGAAATTAGATATGTTTAATTACGTTTGAATTTTGTTTATTTTGATTTGCTCTCCGCATCGACATACTATTTTTTTCAAATATATACTTTCTGCTTCGTACTCCTAAAGCTTATTTATAAAACAATAAAACAGTAACAGAATAGGCAATATAACATATTTAAAATAGTAGCAAAATAAACCATACACAGCTTATTTATGATAGTAACACAACAGATAATACAACCTATGTGTAATAGCAACACAATAAGCTTTTTTTTTTCAATTTCAAACTATTTTATTCACAATACATATATAATGCATTTAAATATTTATGCATGCGATACAGCATTGTTAAAAGAATCGGACAACAGGCTAAGCCTATATCAGGTTTCTTCTACATATATTTCCAGTTAGACATTAATAAGCATTACAACATATAATTCAGTAACTAAGTTACAAAACTGTCAAAAGTAGACTTTACAACAGCATATGTTAAATAGTAACACAACAGACAATACAAATATAGCAACTCGTTCATAATAGTAACACAACAGACAATACAAATATAACAACTCGTTCATAATAGTAACACAACATACAATACAAATATAGCAACTCGTTCATAATAGTAACACAACAGACAATACAAATATAGCAACTCGTACATAATAGTAACACTACAGACATTACAAATATAGCAACTCGTTCATAATAGAAACACAACAGACAATACAAATATAGCAACTCGTACATAATAGTAACAAAACAGATAATAAAAATATCGCAACTCGTTCATAATAGTAACACAACAGACAATACAAATATAACAACTCGTTCATAATAGTAACACAACAGACAATACAAATACAGCAACTCGTTCATAATAGTAACACAACAGACAATACAAATATAGCAACTCGTACATAATAGTAACACAACAGACAATACAAATATAGCCACTCGTTCATAATAGTAACACAACAGACAATACAAATATAGCCACTCGTTCATAATAGTAACACAACAGACAATACAAATATAGCCACTCGTTCATAATAGTAACACAACAGACAATACAAATATAACAACTCGTTCATAATAGTAACACAACATACAATACAAATATAGCAAATCGTTCATAATAGTAACACAACAGACAATACAAATACAGCAACTCGTTCATAATAGTAACACCCCTGACAATACAAATATAGCAACTCGTTCATAATAGTAACACAACGGACAATACAAATATAGCCACTTGTTCATAATAGTAACACAACAGACAATACAAATATAACAACTCGTTCATAATAGTAACACAACATACAATACAAATATAGCAACTCGTTCATAATAGTAACACAACGGACAATACAAATATAGCCACTTGTTCATAATAGTAACACAACAGACCATACAAATACAGCAACTCGTTCATAATAATAACACAACAGACAATACAAATATAGCAACTCGTTCATAATAGTAACACAACAGACATTACAAATATAGCAACTCGTACATAATAGTAACAAAACAGATAATAAAAATATAGCAACTCGTTCATAATAGTAACACAACAGACAATACAAATATAGCCACTTGTTCATAATAGTAACACAACAGACAATACAAATATAGCAACTCGTTCTTAATAGTAACACAACAGACATTACAAATATAGCAACTCGTACATAATAGTAACACAACAGACAATACAAATATAGCAACTTAATTCGGCTTATTCATGATAGTTTCACAATAGACTATTCAACAGCATTTTTATAATAAAAAACACACATGTAAAAATAATGACATTTGGCGTAGTAATCAAGACAAAATGAAATTGTTTAATACAATATGTTGATTCAGCCATCATCTTTGTAAGTTATCAATGTGTTACACAATTAAAGGCTAACGGTCGTTGCACTATGTGGGGAAATGTAGTGCTGGCATAGAACCACAGAATATGGGTATGCTTAAAACACGAAGTGTTAGAGAATACAGAGACGTTCTAACCTTGGCGGCTCAACATCACTGGAGTACCTTCCATCGAACCCCAGACCTTTTGAGTAAACCCTAGTGAATCCCAGACTTCGGGAGTACTCCCCAGAAGAACCACATATACAGCCTGTGCTTTTCTACGCCAGCGCGCCAGGCCATTGTTCAACAAGTTTCCTTCTTGGTTCTTCAGGAGTGATTGAAGAAATGCAGGGAAATAAGCTAAGAGTCGATAAAACTAGAGCAAAATATGAACAAAAAGAAGAGTAACATGGAGGCCCTTGAACAGCAGATGCACTAAGCGCATCCCTTCACTCTTATAGCTTACACATCACAAGCCATCCCTTCACTCTTATAGCTTACACATCACAGGCAATCCCTTCACTCTTATAGTATACACATCACAGGCCATCCCCTCACTCTTATAGCTTACACATCACAAGCCATCCCTTCACTCTTATATCTTACACATCACAAGCCATCCCTTCACTCTTATAGCTTACACATCACAAGCCATCCCTTCACTCTTATAGCTTACACATCAAAAGCCATCCCTTCACTCTTATAGCTTACACATCAAAAGCCATCCCCTCAATCTTATAGCTTACACATCACAAGCCATCCCCTCACCCTTATAGCTTACACATCCCAAGCCATCCCTACACTCTTATAGCTTACACATCACAAGCCATCCTTTCACTCTAATAGCTTACACATCACAAGCCATCCCTACACTCTTATAGCTTAGACATCACAAACCATCTCCTCACCCTTATAGCTTACACATCACAAGCCATCCCTTCACTCTTATAGCTTACACATCACAAGCCATCCCCTCAATCTTATAGCTTACACATCACAAGCCATCCCCTCACCCTTATAGCTTACACATCCCAAGCCATCCCTACACTCTTATAGCTTACACATCACAAGCCATCCTTTCACTCTAATAGCTTACACATCACAAGCCATCCCTACACTCTTATAGCTTAGACATCACAAACCATCTCTTCACTCTTATAGCTTACACATCACAAGCCATCCCTTCAATCTTATAGCTTACACATCACTAGCCATCCATTCACTCTTATAGCTTACACACCACAAGCCATCCCTTCACTCTTTTAGCTTACACATCACAAGTCATCCCTTCAATCTTATAGCTTACACATCACTAGCCATCCATTCACTCTTATAGCTAACACATCATAAGCCATCCCCTCACTCTTATAACTTCCACATACAAGCCATCCCCTCACTCTTATAATTTACACATACAAGCCATCCCTTCACTCTAATAGCTTACACATCACAAGCAATCCCTTCACTCTTATAGTTTACACATCCCAAGCCATCCCCTTCTTATCGCTTACACATCACAAGCCAGCCCTACACTCTTATAGCTTAGCCATCACAAACCATCTCTTCCCTCTTATAGCTTACACATCCCAAGCCATCCCTACACTCTTATATCTTACACATCACAAGCCATTCCTGCACTCTTATAGCTTACACACCACAAGCCACCCCTGCACTCTTATAGCTTACACATCACAGGCCATGCCAGCGCTCTTATAGCTTACACATCCCAAGCCATTCCTTCACTCTTATAGCTTACACATCACACGCCATCCCTGCACTCTTATAGCTTACACATCCCAAGCCATTCCTTCACTCTTATAGCTTAGACATAACAACCAATCTCTTCACTCTTATAGCTTACCCATCACGAGCCTTCCCCTCACTCTTATAACTTACACATCACAAGTCATACCTTCACTCTTATAGATTACAAATCACAAGTCACCCCTTCACTCTTATAGCTTAGACATAACAACCAATCTCTTCACTCTTATAGCTTAGACATAACAACCAATCTCTTCACTCTTATAGCTTACATATCACAAGCCATCCCTTCACTGTTATAGCTTACACATCACAGGCAATCCCTTCACTCTTATAACTTACACACACAAGCCATCCCCTCACTATTATAGCTTACACATCACAGGCAATCCCTTCACTCTTATAGATTCCACATCCCAAGTCACCCCTTCACTCTTATAACTTACACATCACAAGCCATTCCTTCACTCTTATAGCTTACCCATCACGAGCCTTCCCCTCACTCTTATAACTTCCACATACAAGCCATCCCCTCACTCTTATAACTTACACACACAAGCCATCCCCTCACTCTTATAATTTACACATACAAGCCATCCCTTCACTCTCATAGCTTACACATTACAAGTCATCCCTTCAAACTTATAGCTTAAACATCACAAGTCATCCCTTCACACTTATAGCTTACACATCACTAGCCATCCATTCACTCTTATAGCTTACACATCACAAGCCATCCCCTTCTTATAGCTTACACATCACAGGCCATGCCAGCGCTCTTATAGCTTACACATCACAAGCCATCCCTGCACTCTTATAGCTTACACATCACAAGCCATCCCTTCACTCTTATAGTTTACACATCACAAGCCATCCCTTCACTCTTATAGCTTTCACATCACAAGCCATCCCTTCACTCTTATAGCTTACACATCACAAGTCATCCCTTCACTCTTATAGCTTACACATCACAAGTCATCCCTTCACTCTTATAGCTTACACATCACAAGTCATCCCTTCACTCTTATAGCTTACACATCACAAGCCATCCCTGCACTCTTATAGCTTACACATCACAAGCCATCCCAGCGCTCTTATAGCTTACACATCACAAGTCATCCCTTCACTCTTATAGCTTACACAGCTGCACTCTCTCGTGCTACAATAGTGTTACATATCCGACTTTTGTAAGTTTGTCAACAGTAGCAATCTGTTATACCAACAATTGCTCTGACATTCTATTGCTCGAGTACAACCTACTTTAAATGGTTTCACAAAAGGAAAATACAACATATTTACAGTAGGGACATGACAGATTATAAGACAAGATATGTACAGCATATTGTCGTTGGTAGCAACAACCATGAAATAAAACTTAACTTCTCAGAACCAATGCCGAGATGGCTACCATAACGGCTCCTTCAATCCTTGATATTGTTCCAGTGTTAGTTCCTCGATTTTCACAGACGCTATCAAAGTCACAGTTCACAAACTGCGCATAGTGTTCCTTTACCGTGGTGTAGGGACATATAGTGGCACCGCACGCCGGGATGTCCACCTGCTCCTCGTTGACCATCATCTTGACCATGTACTCTGTGTCACACTTGTACATGGTGGTGACCAGGTTAGCGGAGAACGGCATTATGACACTAGCCCGGTATTTGCGGTGGGCGTTTGCCTGATAGTCCTTAGCAAGGAACGCCTTCGATTCGTTAAACAGTCCCAATGCCGTATACATGGACAACACCGATACTACGTGAGTAAACCGGAACGAGGCTAGGGGTCTACAAGGTCAAAAATAGTATGATTTGTATCAAAACATTAAGTAACAGATAGAACTGTACTTCATAGAAATTCTTAATGCATGAACAAGATCTCACTAAATACAGAAAGTAGCTTCGTCTAACAACGTTTTCACGGCGATATTTCAAGTTCGACTGGTCACCGTTACCGAAAGATAAACGCAACACAGACATGTGTTAGCACCTTTACAATATCATAATAAATACAGTTTGCCAAAAACTATTTACACTGCGCCATACAGATCTTTGTAATTCATCCTTCTAGAAACAAACTTATATGTAGCTCATGTAATTAATTATAGTGGTGTAAAACTACCGGTTCATCATTATATAAAATATTGGACCACCTTTTATCCCTTTTACCATTACAAAAGTTAAATGCGCAAGATGACTTCTAGTTCAACATTAAAGAAAATCTAGAAGCAAGACGACATCCGGTTTATTCGAGAAATAGTTGGGGATTTGTGGCATCCTGTTTATCATTTAATTGTAGGGATTTAAGAAAACATGTTGTAACAAAAATGTAGGTACCATACCGTATCTTGTTCATTTCAGGAACATAAACG